ATCCATCCACCCATCCACCCATCCATCCACCCATCCTCCACCATCCATCCACCCACCCACCCATCCATCCACCTACCCACCCATCCACCCATCCACCCATCCATCCACCCATCCACCCACCCATCCACCCATCCACCCATCCACCTATCCATGCACCCATCCATCTATCAACCCAGCCATCCACCTGTCCATCCATCCACCCACTGGTCCACCCATCCATCCACCCATCCACTGACCCATCCATCCACTCATCCATCCACTCACCCATGTACCCACTCATCCATCCACCCACCCATCCACCCACCTATTCCTCCATCCCTCTAGCTATCTAGGTCCTGGGAATTGAACCCAGAGTCTCAGGTATGCTAAGTCCTTGCCTCTCTCCCACGTTAGAGGAACATGCTGTAATGGGTCTTATTTAAGCCTCATGAATCGTATATTTCCATACTTTCCATGTAATGCTTTCAGATCACAATTACTCTGGATAACTCCACCCTCAGAAAGCAAAGCCACAGGCCTGGGTGATGGCCATGGTGACCAGCTTGTCTGCAGGAGTCCCAGCCATGACTTTCCCTGGGAAGCACTAGACACACGAGTGACAGGAATGCAGGTGACCCTTGCTGCACGTCCCACCCTGTCCAGCCTCTGCTCAAGACCTTCTTTATTGCCTCTGCCCACCCAGGAGAAACTCTGCAGGTTCATATCATCTGCTTCAACTTTGAAATGGTGCAGGTGACCTGGAACAACACCGTACCTGCTACAGGGACCAACCTGACTTTCTTCTACAGGTAAGTTCCCGGGGAACCGAGCCCCGTGCAGCTACCTGTCCTTCCTTCTACATATCCAGCTATCCACACATCCACCCATCCGTGCATGCATGCATCCATCCATCCTCCCATCCACTCATCCACCACTCTAGTTATCCGTCCATTACCAAATGCATCCATCCACCCACCCATCCATCCGTCCACCCATCCATCCATCCACCCACCCATCCATCCGTCAATCCACCTGTCTGTCAGTCTGTCCACCCATCCACCCCTCCATCCACTCCCCCATGCATCCGTTTGCCTGTCTGTCCATGTGTCTGTCCACCCACTCACCCATCCTCCTGTTCCCCGTCTGTTCACCCCTTAGCCAGGCATCACAGGATAAACTAACTGCCTCGTAGATGCCCCCTCGGCAAAAGCCACAGAGTTCAGGTGGAGGCCGGGGGTTTAGCTCCGTGGTTTTGCCGCCTGCTGCGCCAGCGCAAGGACCCGAGTTCGATCCCCCATACCAAAAACAAAAACTAAAACAAAGTCCAGGTGTGAGGTGTGTGGCTTTCAGCACAACCACAGGCCAGAAACCTCCTCCCCATCAGGGTGACTGGGCCGCACTGGGAGCCTCCTCTGCTTTCCAGGGGGTCCCCCTGCCCTGCTCCCCGGGACGCGTCAGGGTGCGGCCCTCTCTCCCCTCTCTGAGACCCCTCGTTGGTGAGGCAGAGGGGCCTTTGGCCCTCAGGGACACGGGCGGGCGGACGGGCGGGCGGCTGGGCTCGCGGGGGCGGGGGGGGGGTTCGCTGCATCCTGGGGGCGCCACCCCCAGGCTGCCCGGGGAGGCAGGGGTTTCCCCACGGGCACTCCTCTCTGGGCGAGTGGTGATGACACCCAGGCTGGGCGTCTGCCAGTCCTTTTCAGGGGACCTGAGTGGGAGAGGGACATTTTGGGAGGCATCCGCTGGGCAGGCGGGAAGCAGCCAGCTTGGTTTCCCGGGAGGGAGGCTGTGCTGAGTCCGTGGCTCCCGCCGCAGCGAGATGAGATTCGAGACTGGGGGAGTGAAGCCCGCCTGCCTTGGGCGGGGCAGCCCAGGGCCAGGGTGTGGCCCGCCGGCGTGTTATTCCGGTCCACAGGAAGCCACAGAGAGGCCCGACCTGGGGCACCCGGGAGCACAGCCCCAGCCCCTGGGTTGCTCCCCAGGCAAGTAGGCGGCCGCTGTGGGGGGTTCCTGGGGCGGGGCTCGCGTCAGAAAGCCGGCGGTGTCCCGCGGTGCAGACCAAACGCACACAACCCGGGCGTGGTCCGGGCGGGCTCCCTCCACGGGCTCCCGGGAGGCCCTCCTGCCTCTGCCTCCTCCGGGGCTCCAGGCGGCCCCAGCGCCCCCGTCTGTGCCTCTGTCTCCACGCGGCTCCTGCTCCGTCTGTGCCTTTTCCTCTGTACCTCGTGAGGCCACGGTCGCTGGGTTCCAGGAGTTCGTGGCCACCCCGAGTCCACGGCCGGCTGTGGAACCAAGCAGTGGCCGTCAGCCACCCGGGCCAGACGCCGGTGTCCCCTCCGCCCACCCAGGTTCCAGGACGACCAGCCGTACGCGCCGTGCACCCGCTACCTGGTCCGGTGCGGCCTCACGGCCGGGTGCCTCGTGGAAGGGGGCGACCGGGTCTTGGACTTCTGCCTCCACAACGGGTCGCGCCGTGTTCTCGCCATGCAGCGCTGGGTCTCCGATTACCGTGAGCGCCCGCCGCCCCGGCCGCGTCCTCGCCCTGGCTCTCGGGGAGGGGCTGGGCCCTGGGACTCCCACCTGGCTGGTCTGGGATGACCTCCCTGGAGATCCTCCTGCCTCCGCCTCCCGTGCCCCACCGCACCAGCCCCGCCGGACACTTTTATGTGTCCAGGGAAGGAGGGGAGGCAGGAGGCAGAGGCAGCGGGGTCTCCTGCGCTCTCTCCTTCCCAGTGAAGCCCAGGGCCCCGCGAGACCTGCGGTTCCTGTGGGGACAGGACGCTGTCACCGTGACGTGCCCCGGCCTGCCCTACAGTGGGCTGCTCTACGAGGTGCAGCACAGGACGCCTTACGACGGCGGGTGGCAGGTGAGCTGCAGTGGCACCCACGTCCCCACCAGGGCTGCGGGTCTGGGGGTCGGGGGTCCGCTCCACCCTCAGGGTCTGCAGCGACACCGCCCGAGCCCACCCCACCTCCTGTGCGTGCATCCACCCATGCATCTGACCAACAAGAGGCCTGTCATGCCAGCACTCGGGAGGCCGAGGCAGGACGATCCCAAGTCCCAGCCCAGCCCTGGCTCAGCCCGCACAGAGAGAGGACGTCCCCCAGCTGCCACCCGGAAGGCCGGCTCCTGTCCCCGACCGCCCTGTCCGATTCGTCCCCAGTCCAGGGTGGCGGAGCTGTGCAACGTGACCATCGAGGGCCTGGACCTGGGGCACTGCCACTCCTTCCGGGCCAGGGTGCTGACCCAGGCGTCCTCCTACGGCTCCGAAGCATCCCCCAGCGACTGGTCTCCGGTCACCCACTGGCAGGGAGCTGCGCCCCGAGGTGACGGGGCCACGCGGCGACTCCGCCATCACGGGACCTTCACGTGTGTGGGCAGCGGCACAGGGAGAGCAGAGTGGACAGAGGAGATGGCGGTCAGGGAGACTCGAGGGGGACGCGGAGGGGATGGAGGGAGACACAGGGGACCTCAGGGAGACAGGGACAGAAAAGGGGATGGACAGGAAAGATAGACCTTAGGTGGACCACGTATGCATATGGACACGGGGCGTAGAGACAGGTGGACACAGAAACCGAGGTGACAGACAGGGAACAGGGAGGCAGACAGACAGGCAGACAGGATGGGCGGGCGGGTGGGTGGGTGGATGATAGGAAGATGGACAGAATGGATGACAGATGGACAGATGAATAATAGGCAGGTAATAGATGGGTGACAGACCCTAGATGGATAGGTGGATGGGTGACAGATGATGGACAGGACTGCAGAGGACAGCTGGTGGTGGGTGCAGGTGTCCCATCCCCCTCTGGGCCTTCACAGCCTAGCCCCAGGCTCCTCCCCACGTGCACCCGGCCCTGAGCCCTGTGCCCCCCACCCTGGTCCCCTGTACCCCGCCCCGGGGCACCGAGAGGAAGCGGCTCTTGACCCACTCCTGGGCCGCCCAAGCCCCACGTCCCCGAGTCCCCTGCCAGCTCCAGCACTGAGCCCACAGTGCTCCTCTTGCACCCCAGATTCCTGCCTGCAGTGGCCCCCGCTGCCCAAATGGCCCCGGTTCTTCCTGGTGTGCAGCCTGGTGTCGCTCCTGACCGTGGCCCTGCTGCTCCTGGCTGTGTGCAAGGCGCAGAGGTGAGGACCGTGCAGGAGGGCGGCCTGAACCTCTCAGAAGCAGGGGTGGCAGTAAGTTGTGTTTCACGTAACAAAGAGTCAATCAGCAACCATTCCCATGTGCCGTCCCATACGATGACGGTGGGGCTACAAAGCTCTGTTTGCCTCCTGACTCTGTGCCTCTCATAATTCCACGAGGCCACCATGTGCGTGAGGGGACCCTGGTGTAAACCAGCCCAGTCCCACAGGAGCACGAGGCCAGCACTGTGCAGCGTGCTCGGTACTAAGAGTCGTTGCCGGAGCTCCTGGTTGGCTTCTTTGGCTCCACTGTGCATTTTGAGTTTCTTTCTTCTCTTTGTGGAGCTGGGGATGGAAGCAGGGCCTCGCCTGCTGGGCCCATGCTGCATCAGACTTCGTCGTGTCTCATGTGGAGACCGAGTCTCACTGAGCAGCGATCCTCCTGCCTCAGCCTCCCAAGTAGCGGGGCTGACACTGAGGTAGCTGGGCCACCCCGTGTGTGAACGCCCTCCATGGTGTCTGCCGGGGACACAGTCTGCTGCTAAAGTCAGAGTTTGGCCCTGCGGGAAGGGACTCTGGTAGGCCCCTCATCCAGCACTCCGGGAGGCTGAGGCAGGAGGATCCTAAGTCCCAGTCCAGCCTGGGCAACACAGGGACTTAGCAAGATCCCATCTCACAATGAAAAATACAAAGGGCCGGGGATGCAGGTCATGCCCAAGGCTCTGGATGCAGCCCCCAGGCCCATAAAAAGTGATCGAGTTCTGCCCACCTAGGTTGACATAAACAGCAGCACGAAGCACTGAGCATCGCTTGGTTGCACTGACAGGAGCTAAATAGAAGAAAATCTGCCAGACATTGTGCGTGTGGGTAGAAATGAAAGATGTCCCTCAGCCTCCAGACCCGGGGAGAAACACACTGCACGAGAAAATGGGTCTGACCCCACCCACACACGCCACAAAAGAGTATTTAAACCGAGCACTGGGGAGGCTGAGGCAGGAGGATCGCCACGAGTTCAAGGCCAGCCAGGGCTGCACAGTGAGACCCTGTCTTGAAACACAAACCGGCCAGGGATTTAGCTCTGGCGCTGAGCCTGTGTCGCAAGCACAAGGTCCTGAGTTTGACGCCCGGTACCAAAAACAGACAAACAAATAACAACTGTCTAATTCCATGGCCTTGAGGGAAGTAAAACAACAGAGAGAAATGTGCCCAACCACATGCATTTGGTTAGAAATTAAATGTAGAAGGAAACGGATCCAAGCTGGTGGATTCAGGCAGAAGTGAACGGCAGAATAAAGTGAGTTTAGACTCCTGCATTTGGGAGGAAACCGGGTGTCGGATGAAACCTACCCACTCGGTAGAGATGGAAAATCAGCTACGTCCCTCGTCTGAGGCTGCCAGGAAAATCACCCTGTGATGGAATCCCAGCCCTCTCTCTTTTATCCTTTGAGCCAGGATCCCGCTAGGTTCCTACGTCGCCCGTGGCGGTTACACTGCGACCCTCCTGCCTCAGCCTCCCAAGTGCTGGGGTGCGGCCGTGCATACGCAGAGCCCTGTTCTCACTGTGCTCCTTCCAGGGTGAAGAGGGTGCTGATGCCCAGCGTGCCGGACCCCAAGGGCTCCTTTCCCGGGCTGTTCGAACACCACCAGGGGGACTTCCAGGTGCCTGCCACCCGCCGGTCGGGTCCCCTGCTCAGGTTCCGGGCATTCAGATGCGGACAGAGTTTCGCACTCCGGGGAGGGGAGCACCGATTGCTCGCCGACCCGCAGGGCCCCGGGTGACACGGTAAACCCCTTAGACAGCAGAGGAGAGAAACGCGTGGGAAATGTTCTGCCATGCTCCTCCATGCTGCCACGGGCCCTGTGGACGGACGGACGGACGGACGGACGGATCGCACGTGATGTTGCGATGCACAAGGCAGCCCTCACGGAAGAACGGCGCAGCCCCCCGAGAGAATGTAGGGTTCCGGGCTGCAGCTCCACAGTCACGGGGCCTGGGTGCACTGCCAGAGACGGGGAAGGTGTGCAGAACAGGTTCAGGCAGAGAGATGAGGTTTGGGGGCTCGGCGGGAGGCAAGGGACAGGAAGCCGGGAGGTGGGAGGGACACTCAGGGCAGCTCTGGGTGCTTGCGCTGTGGACCCGAGTCCCCTCGAGACACGGTGACTTCCACCTGCCCGAAAAGGACATCGGCTCCCCAGGGGCACCCAGGGTGCTATGCAGTGGTCTGTGCGGATGGCCACCGGGGGACCGTGTATCGGGACGGCCTTGGGGACCATCTGTGGGACCCTTCTAAGCCATTTCATCCAGTCCCCAACGGTTCCTAATGTAGTGGTCAGACTTGTGTTGCTGGACAAAGTACCTGAGGGGAGAAAAGGTAAAAGAGGAGGAGACTTTGATTTGGACTCCTGGTCTCAGAGGGCTCAGTCCATGGTCGGCCGCTGCAGTGGTCTCAGGGGGTTGAGAGAGAGAGGGACAGAGAGAGAGGGAGGGAGGTTAGGCTCAGCTTGCCTCCCCCAGTCACCCCGGGCCCCACCCCAGACGTCTATGGGGATGGTCTTGGGACGTCTATAAGCCTGGTCACCTTGTAGACCTCCTGGAACCTGCCGGGGGCTCCCGAAGGAGCCCGCGTCCCTCATCCTGACTCAGTGACCCCCCCTGCAGGAGTGGATCACCGACACCCAGGACGTGGCCCCATGGAAGAAGCCGCCGAGCGGGGAGCAGGACCCTGGGTCTGAGCAGACGCTGGAGGTCCATGTGTCCAGGGTGGACGCGGAGCTGCCCCTGGTGACGAGGCCCCTGTCCCCACACACAAGGGAGGAAGAGGCCTCCGTGGGCTCCGCGCAGCACCCTCCCCGAGACCCCCAGGGTGGCACCGTGGTCTCTCTTGCGGGCTTCACGTTCATGATGACGGACAACGCCTACATGAAGCTGTGAACTGCGATCCTCCGGCCTCGGCCTCCTGAGCGGCTGGGGTGACAGGCAGGCACCACCACACCTCACTCTCTTGTTCACTTTCCTTCTGCAGTCCGTGGCATTGTACCCAGGGGGCAGCATGGTGGGGAAAGCGCTCTACCCCTGAGCTTCGCCCTGAGCTCTTTGATCCTCTTTGCTTCTATTTGGAGACCAGCTCTCTGGCTAAGTGGCCCAGGCTCACCTTAAACTTGAGACCCTCCTGACTCAGTCTCCCGCAGTGGCTGCACCACAGACGGGCACCGGTCGCTCCTTCCCCTGTGATGTGACCCCCAGCCCCGGGTGTGGCCCCGCAGGAAGGACGAGGCAGGCTGCTCTCTCCGGAAGCAGCGAGTCAGCGATGCTCTCTCCCCTCCCGGGGCCCTGCAGTGTGCATGTCTCTGTGCGCCTGCAGGCTCATGCGTGTGTCGGCGGGTGTATGCAGCTGTGCATTTGTGTACACACGTGTCTGTCTGTGGCGTGATGAGTGCCTGTGTGTGGGGGGGAGATGCACGAACGCCTGGAGGTGAGGCCATAGCCGTGTCTGTGTGCGTGCGTCTGCATCTGGGTGTAAGCGTGTGCACGTGTGTACATACATGTAAGCACACAATAACCGAAACGCATAGCTGATAGGTGTTCTGCATGGTTTTAATTTACCCTGGAGCTTTTGCTGACCTCACCGCAGTGCCTGTCTACGTTATTTGCCCTGGGTCCGCACACGAGAAGTCGTGGCTGCACCTCAGGCCTGCGCAGTGGTCCAGCCAGACGGAGTCGACGTCGTCTTCGTGTCTTAGCCCCCGGGTGGTGGCCTGACTGGAAGCAGGGCCCTGCAGAGGGAATCGGAGGAGGATCTGGGGACACGGCCGTCCTGCCTCAGCCTCCCGAGTGCTGGGCCCACAGGTGCCACACTTCACCAGAGGCTTTGACCCCCGCCCCGCTGTGCCTTTCTGCTGTCGGTCTCTGTCACTTCCTTCCTAAGCCTTTCGGGTCCTTTCACGTCTCTGTCTCCGGTCCCTGCCCCTCTGGGAGGGCTCCTTGTTGTAGGGGGACCCTGTCTCCGTGACACTCAACCCGCCGGCCACTCTGCCTCCAACGGAGCCCCGACGGCCCCTCCCTGCCTCCTGATTAACGAACTCGTCAGTTAATTGAGAGGGACTGGGGGTGGAACCCAGGGCCTTCGCTCCGAGCTCCGTCTCCAGCCCTATTTAGGTTTTCTTTTGAGCCTGGTCTCCCTGAGTCACTCAGTGGCCCAGGCTGGAGATTCTCCTGCCTCAGCCTCCTGAGCACTGGGATCAAAGGCATGCGCCAACCTCGTCTTGGGATCTCAAGGCTGGGGCCTGCGGGTCAACACTGAGCCCCTCACAGGGCCAAGTGGCGCAGCCGGGTGACAGCAACGGCTGCTCTCAGTGTTCATGCTGTGGTTTCCTGTCCCCTGCCCGGGGCCGGGACAAAGCCCTTTGTGCTCGCTCTGCACAACGCACCTGGGGTGCTGAGGAGAACCGCGTCATCCTCAGCCCTCGGACCGCAGTCGGACTCGGGGTGGGCTAAGTGTGTGACCCCAGCACTCCAGGAGGCTGAGGCAGGAGGATTTCGAGTTCCAGCCCAGCCCGGGCGGCTTAGCAGCTCAGCGAGACCCCGACTCAAAATAAAAAATAAAAGCAGGCTGGGGATGGGGCTCCGAGGGAAGGCCCCAGGGTCAATCCCCAGCGCTGCAAGAATAAATACACACAAGATATTCTTTAAAAGGCTGCGGTGGCGCACGCCCATCACTCCAGCACTCTGGGAGGCTGAGGCAGGAGAGTCTCCAGTTCCCGCCCAGCCTGCACAATTTACGGTCTCAGCGAGACCCTATCTCAAAATCCACGGTGGAGAGAGGAAGGGAGGCAGGAAAGAAATCAGGCCCGAGTACCAGTTGTCACACCCGATGTTTGGTCTGGCTTGGGAGGGGCTGCCTCAGTTTCCCCAAGTTTCTCGGCCTTCCCCAGGGGCTCCGGCTGCAGATGCTGTAAAAGTTCCCAATCGGACATCCCCTGCGGGTCCTCAAAACGAGCCCCCTCTTGCCCTGCTGTCCCGAAGGCAGACGAGACAAGCCGGGGCACTGAGGGTAATAAACTGACTTCCAGAGCCTGGGCAGGGATCAGCTCGCTGGCACGCAGCAATGGGCTCGGCTCCACCCCGAGTGTGAAGGTCCGAATGGAGACAAACTGACCAAAGGCAGTGGCGCCAAGCCTGGCCCTGCCTGGGGCCCAGTGGGCGGCTGTAGGCCGGCTCTGGGTCCCTGGTGCGAGTCCTACATGGCATTGGGGGTCCTCCTGCCTCAGCCTTCTGCCACACCAGGCTAAGAAACTGAATCTCAGTGGGTCCCGTACTGTGGCATCTGACACAGACAGCGGGCCTGGGCCGGGGACAAATGGGACGCACTTTAAGCTCAGCGTCCCGCTGCGGATAAACCTGTGCCTCCCTTACATACGGAAGCTGTGAAGGACCTCGCGAAGCGGAGTGAGGGCCCTTCCTCCGGTGGGGTGCACACGTCCAGCATTTTACGGGGACAAATCCTGACTTGGACACGCAGGGCAACTCTTCACGAGGCCCGACTTCCAGGGCAAAGGGAATTGATCCAGGCCGGCCTTGCGCTCACTGTGGAGCCCAGGCTGGCCTTCGACTCGCAGCGATCCTCCTGCCTCAGCCTCCCGAGTGCTGGGATGACAGGTGCGCCCCACCACGCCTGCTCTAAGCACAGCCACAGCGCCAGCCAGGAAGCAGCCTCCCGCTGCCTTAAGAAGCCGTGCTCCCGGCTCCCGTGACCCCGTGTCCCACCGACTGCACTTCGCCTCCGTGAGAGAAACCCTGACCCCAGACTGCCCGGCGCCTGCTGGTAAAAATATGCAAAACCTGCCACTTCCTGGCTGAGCCTCCAGCAGGCTTCGGGCAGGAAATAAAGAGGATTGATGAGTTGTGGAAAATCACGGGTGTATGAGGCAGCACAAACTTAGCAGCCGGGCGTGGTGCTGCGCACATACGAAGCCGGCACTGGGGAGGCCGAGGCAGGAGGATCTGCCGGAGTTCAAGGCCAGCCTGGGCTCCACACGCAGGGCTGTGGCTCTGACCCAGTCCCCGTCGGGCCTCCGTCCACGGAGGAGTCGAGGACACAGGGCAGGAGTTCAGGACAAGCAGGTGAAGTTGGAAAATTGACCCAGGCGGAGTGCTGGGCTCTCGGTTCCCTGGAGCACGGCCTGGGCCGCCACACGCGATCCCACAGCCCGGGCGCTGAGCCCCGCCGGTGCCGCCGTCGCTGTTCCCGGCCGCGCCGGCAGGTGGCGCCCGCGCTCCGCGCTGTCTGAGACTCGGCCCGACCCGGCTCCGCCTCTTCCCGCTCTGCTCTCCCCGCCTGCAAGGTTCAAATTCCGACGCGCGGCCCCGCTGGGCGTCCGATCAATCAACGATCAACGCCTGCGGTCAGGGCCGGGAGGAGACCGGGTGTGGCGAAGCAGCCCAGGCTGGCCTCTCACTCGCGACCCTCCTGCCTCAGCCTCCCGAGGAGCAGGTGTGCACCCCGCCCCCGGCTGGGCCGTTCCTTTCAGGCCGGACCCGCCACGGCCCAGACCCTCGAGGACCCGGCTCCCCTGGGATCCGGGCCCCTCAGGCGTGGCGCCCCAGGCTCCGTCAGCTCCCGGGGCCTCCCCGACTCTGCCTGCCCCCGAGCGCAGACCCATTTCCACCGGGATTTTGTGAATTCTTCATCGAGTTCCCCCCTCGCCTCTCTCAAGACGAGCCCGGGGTTCAGATCCTGCGCTCGTTGTCCCTGAAGGTGCCAATCACCGCAGGAAGGACAGGACAGTTTGCAAACCGACTCCGAGACATCACATTCTGATTTCTTCATCAACACGGTCTCCAAGGCCGCGCAGACCCCGCAGGGTCCCCAAAGACGCGATTCCTGCTCTTGTTTATGTTCCTCGTGCTGAATACGGGGGGCAAATTCCTGGGGGTTTGGTGGAAGGTTCTCCGCCGCTTCTGCCTGTCAGTGGCATGGGTTGTTACAGAACAAGCTAACTCAGAATTGCTGTAGGGCCCAGCCACCCCGTTCTTTGCTGCATCAGGGATGGAGAGGAAGGCGTTGTGTAGATATCTGCACCCCCACCTCCAGGGCAGCATGATTCATAACAGCTAAAAAGTAGGGACCACCCCAGAGTCTGGTGACGGACACAGTGCACTTCATTGACACGGTGGAATATTATTTAGCCTTCAAAAAGGAAGGAAGTTCTAATATTAGTGCAACATGCATGGACCCTGAAGTCCTCGTGCTGAGTGACACAAACCATTCCTGAAAGGACAAATGCTGTAGGAATCCCTCGGCACGAGGTCCCCATGCTTGTCGGATGGTGGGTCCCCCGGACTGGGTTAGGGGAGCAGAGAGCTAGTGTTGAGCGGAGGCAGAGCTGTACTCTGGGGAGTCAGGAAGCTCGTGCAGGTGGCCTGCGGAGCTGAATTCTGCTCAACCGTGCTCTTCAGAAAGGCCGGGGTGGTAGACTGTACACGAGGTGCAGTGAACCCTAAGATTAAAAAGCATTAATCCTGTAATAAAACAGGCAGGGAGCTTCATCTCAGCAAAGGTCGGAAGTTTTCTCCCAGCAGAGCTTGGCTTTGGGCTTCACCCGCGCTTCTCGGCAGCCAGAAGCCTGCTGTGAACATACACATCTGTGCGGGGCGCGGTGTCCTGCTCCGTGACCCTGCTCACCGGCCCTGGTGGCTGAGGACTGAACCACAGCCGGGCTCCCTCTGGATGGCAGGTGGGGCGTGAGGGCACAGATTTGCCTCTGGCTCACCGGGCACCGAGGAGGGGCCTGGGCCCTGGGATCTGCACTGTGGGCTGGATTCGAGCCCACAGAGGCAGCAGAGCCACATCTGTCTCGGGTTCAAGTCCCCGGGTGCCCATGTGGTGGGGCTGCGTGTCCATTGCCTCCCTGGGGACGCTGGGCTGAGACCGGAAGGACTTGCTGAGCGCAGAGGAGGCGTGAGGCAGGGCTGAGTGGTTGCTCCACAGGACGGCGAGGGCGTGGACACGGGGTGTGGCCAGCACCATGGACGCAGCTTCCTACAGGGGCTGAGGAGCCGTGGCCCGGTTCGGGGGAGGTTTGTGAAGTCAGGTGTGGTGGCGAACAGGGTGGAAGGAGTTCACGTTATGAGGAAACAAAACTGGGGGGTTGTCATGGGCAGAACTGCAACCTGGATGTTTGTTGAATGACTGTCTGACCCCTAGGACTTCAGGTTGCCTGTGGCTAGAGATGGGGTCTTAAAGAGCAATGCTGAGGACTAAGGGATCCGTCCCTCTGAGGACCCTCCAAAGCCATCTCCAGATAGAGCCCCCAAATGGAACCAGAGCCATGTCCAGAACCAACCTCCTCTCTCTGTAGCTCACCAGGTGCGGTGCTGCGTTCTTAGCCACAGAGCACAGGCTGAGGCAGATGGCAGGACTGGAAGATGGCTGTACCCTGGGAGAGGGTCTGTCCCCAGCCACAGCCACCAGCAACATTTGGGGTCTGCCATGCCCGGGGGATGGTAGTGGTGCTTTCGAGTCACTGAGACACAATATCTGACACCCACGACGTAAGGGAGGACAGGATTAATGTGGCTCATGGTCTCAGAGGGTTGAGTCCATGGTCGGCTGCTCCAATGGTCTCAGGGGGTTCAGTCCATGGTTGGCTGCTCCAAGGTGGGAACATCACGGTGCACGGGTGTCCGGGGGGAAAGACAGTGGAGTCAGGAAGCAGAGCAGAGGAATGGAACCAGAGAAATGGGCCAGCGACCAGATATAGACCCCAAGGCCATGCTCTATGACCCCACAGAAGTGTGACCCTAATCCCCGGGCAGACCCCCAAGTCGATCAAGCTGACCCCACCTGGGGCTCCACACTGGCCATGGGGTGACGAGTCCTTAGGGTGGGCTGCGCTGGGCTCTCCCAGCCAGGCCAAGCCCCCTCCAGCACTGGGTTCGTAACGGAGCCCACCAGGAGCTGCCCTGATATTCAGGAAGTGCGGATCCCGGCCGCTGTCACCTTCAAAGGGAATCCAGGACCCCAGGAGCCCCTCAGTCTTTAATTGCATCTTGGTGAAATATTCTTTTCGTGGAAAACACTGTTGCTTTTCAAGGCTCAGAAAGGGCCCTGTTTGGAGCCAGCCTGGGGCGTCTGGACACAGAGGGCTGGCGAGGTGCGTGGCGGATTCCACCCGGGCTGCGGCTGGAGCAGGGAGTGGCAGGGAGTGGACGTGCTCGGAAGTGGTGCCGGTGCCGGTTCCGGTGGCTCCCAAAGAGTCCGGGCCCCACCCCGGCTTCCCCTCCACCTCCTGGCTCCCTCCCCGCATCTGCTCTCGGGCCCTTCTAAAACCCGGTTGAATTTTTCAGGAGGGCTGTCAGTGTCTCCGCTTCGATGCCCGTGCAGCGATTGTGGGAAACCGCTCGCAAAAATCCAGCGAACTTTCCTCCAGTACCACGGAGTCAGCGAGTGGAGCGGGGATTCGGGATCGGGGAGCCAGTTCCAGGAGGCCCCGGGCCCTGGCTGGAGCCGCACAGTTCTGCAGTGCGGTCAGGGCACGGAATGCTAGCGTCTCTCTGCTGCTTCACCGGGGTGCGGCATTCAAGGCCCGGTGTCGGATGTTCTGCAGTTTACCGCGTGCGGAGCAGGCGCCATGCTGGGCGGTCATGCTCCGCGGTGGCTTCCCGAGCGTGTCCCCGGCACATTTCCGGCCGGATAGGCTGCGCCAGGACCCCGCCTGGGGTCATAAATGTTCGCGGCAGTTTCTGGTTTTGTTTTCCTTTAAGTTTTATTTCTATGAGTCCGTGTTTGCAACACGCACTGATCGCATTCCTCACAGGGAGCTGGCATGCAGACGGAACTCAGCTTCACTCATTCCATCGTTTTGTTGTTTATTTATACTTTGGTTTTCTCATATAAGAGAAACTGTGCCGTGTTTAAATTCGTGTGTCTGATTTATTTCCCAAACTACCCTGGCCTCTGGGTGGATCCATTTTCCTTCACATACTCAGGCCTATCCTTCTTCGTGGCTGTGTAGTACTCCACATGTTACTCCCTCATTGATTGCTCGGCGGTGACAGAAAGGAAGTTAAAAAGCTGACAGGAGCCAGCTTGAGAGGCGAACATGAGGAGCCGATGTAGACGAGGGTCTCAGCACCATCAGAGAGGGGAGGGGGAATGTCCAGTGCTCTCCGGCCGCAGCCCTCCTGGTGTGGGTGCAGTGAGGTCCCAGGCGTTCCAGCCTGGTGTGTGGTCAAAAATCCCAAACAACAAAACACCCGCTGTAAAACAAGGTGTCACGTGGTTTGATTCTGGCGTACACCTTCCGCACAAGAGGCGCCTGCCACATGTATGTCCCTTATGTGTGTCTGGGCGTGGGCGTTGTGAAAGCTGGGTTCACCCCGGCGAAACTGACCTTGTAGAGGGGCAGACGTGCCATCTGCAGTGACCACCCGTGGTGTACTCGGCACAGAAGCCGGGCATCTTAAGGGGACAGGCGGGCGGAGCCAGGTGATACGGACACACACATAGGGAGCTGAGGAGCCAGGTAGATGGACCACAGACTCCATGACACATGTGACGCGGCGTGTGTGTGTGTGTGTGTGTGTATAATGTATGTGGTGTGAATACACACATAGGTAAATACGCATCCTATGCGTGCGTGCATCCTCTCCTACGCTGATGTCCTTATCCATCTGTGTGGGTCTTTATCAGCTACCGGCCAGTCAGTGGATCCACGGATCAATGGATCGGTGGATCCACAGGTCGATGGGTCGATCGATTGTTTACTGATTCCATGTCCCTCCGCCACCACGCCCGACCACCCACCGCCTGTTACCCTGCAGTGCGTGCCGCGTCTAGTGCAGATGGCGTCTCATCCATCCATTTCTCCCTGGCATCTGCCGTCCGTTAGGTATTTTCTATTTCTTGTTT